CACCTCCCGGGTTCATGCCATTCTCCTGCCTCAGCCTCCCAAGTAGCTGGGACTACAGGCGCCCGCCACCACGCCCGGCTAATTTTTTGTATCTTTAGTAGAGATGGGGTTTCACGGTATTAGCCAGGATGGTCTCGATTTCCTGACCTCGTGATCTGCCCACCTCGGTCTCCCAAAGTGCTGGGATTACAGGTTTGAGCCACCACGCCCGGCCTGCCTTGCCTTTCTTTACCTTTAACAAGGATTATGGCAATGCCTCTCAATTCAATCCCCTCCCTTCCAATCCTTACTCTCCATGGGTGCTGGGCATCCTTCTAAAGCAATACTGGCAAGCACCTCTTCAGTTAAAGTCTTTAATGACTCCCAACTTGCAAGAGCAAATCCAGACTCCTGCAAACTAAGGATTTTGCAGGTCCAGGGCTCCAGTTATGGGTAGAATGCAGCAGAGCCTCATGAATGGAAGGGTTTAACACTCCAGGATTTCACCCCATGGAAGCTGTGACTGAAAGTCTAGAACACAGAACTGGTTCCTCTAAGCACCACCGTGGGCTGTGCATTGCCAGGCTGGGAGTAGGAGGAGATGCTTGGCTTCTGAGTCTGCCTGGCCACCTCTCAGCCTGCACATCTCAACGCTGGCTTTATTCTTTCCAAGTGCCATCACATACCTACTGGTAATACATAAATGAGGAAAACATGGTTTCTTTGTGAAAAATGACTCCCCCACAAAAAAACCAATTTCTTTTTTTTTCTTTTTTGAGATGGAGTCTTGCTCTGTCTCCCAGGCTGGAGTGCAGTGATACGATCTCAGCTCACCACAACCTCCACCTCCCGGGTTTAAGCAATTCTCCTGCCTCAGCCTCCTGAGTAGCTGGGATTATAGGTGAGTGCCACTACGCCCGGCTAATTTTGTTTTTTAGATGGAGTTTCGCTCTTGTTACCCAGGCTGGAGTACAATGGTGCAATCTCGGCTCACTGCAACCTCTGTCTCCCAAGTTCAAGCAATTCTCCTGCCTCAGCCTCCCAAGTAGCTGATATTACACGCATGCGCCACCTTGCTTGGCTCATTTTGTATTTTTAGTAGAGACAGGGTTTCTCCATGTTGGTCAGGCTGGTCTCGAACTCCCAACCTCAGGGGAGTCACCCTCCTTGGCCTCCCAAAGTGCTGGGATTACAGGTGTGAGTCACTGTACCAGGCCTGATTTTTGTATTTTTAGTAGAGACAGGGTTTCACCATGTTGGCCAGGCTGGTCTCAATTGCCTGATTTGTGATCCACCCACCTCAACCTCCCAAAATGCCGGGATTATAGGTGTTAGCCACCGTGCCAGGCCAAGAAAGCCAGTTTCTAGGGAGAGTGAGAGAAGTGATAAGTAGGTTTAAGAGAGGGTGATTCCTGGTCAGAAACCAAGTCTTCAGTAAGTTAGAGAATTTCAAATTAGGGGTGCATCTGGGACAGGAATACATGAGCTGTAAGTGGAAATGAGAACAAGCAGCTTGGAAAGCTGTCAGCAAGGACAAACAGGGCTTCCCAAGAGATGAAATTTCAGAAAAGGCCGAAGGGTTTGCGTGATAATGATGTACGCAGGAAATGCATGGCTGAATAGAAGTTTGATTAGGAGAAACTCATTTTAAAAGTTTTTGAGGCCGAGGCAGGCAAATCACGAGGTTGGGAGATTGAGACCCTCCTGACTAACACGGTGAAACCCGGTCTCTACTAAAAATACAAAAAAAATTTAGCCAGGCATGGTGGCGGGCGCCTGTAGTCCCAGCTACTCAGGAGGCTGAGGCAGGAGAATAACGTGAACCCGGGAGGCGGAGCTTGCAGTAAGCTGAGATGGTGCCACTGCACTCCTGGGTGACAGAATGAGACTCTGTCTCAAAAAAAAAAAAAAGCTTTTAAGTGGGCCAGGCACGGTGGCTTATGCCTGCAATGCAAGCACTTTGGGAAGCTGAGGTGGGAGAATCAGTTGAGCCCAGGAGGTCGAGATCAACCT